CAGGAGTTGACAGCAGCCTGGTCAAGATGATGAAACCCTGCCTCTACTAAAAATACAAAAATTAGCTGGGCATGGTGGTGGACGCCCGTACTCCCAGCCACACGGGAGGCTGAGGCTCGAGAATTGCTTGAACCCGGGAGGCAGAGGTTGCAGTGAGCCGAGATCATGCCACCTCACTCCATCTGCTGCACCCTGGGCAGCAGAGCAATACTCCATCTCAAAAATAAAATAAAATAAAATACGCTAATAGTACATGCCAGGGCCTGGCTTCAAACGTGACTGCAGGTTCTGCCTTCCTCACGATGCACAGAGACCTGCCTAGAGCATGAAATTATTGCCCCATCCTGCTCCCTTATGTAACCTGCCCAGCCCCTTGGAACCTTTGAGTCTGTGCCCTGCTTCATCCCGGTGGAAGGCTGCGTTTCCAGGGACATCTCTGCAGGGTGTTTACTTGGGAGGGCCCTTGGGGCCAAGGAAGGAAGAACAGGGAAGGGCAAGGAAGGAAAAGTGCATGGAGGAAGAAGTTGAGCCAAGATTCAGGCCCAAAGACCTGCGCCGCTGACTCCCCAGGGAGGGAGCTCGTTCAGCAGCTCTCCCGAGAGCTCCCAGTCCCCAAGTCGGGGGAGATGGCTGCGCCTTTATACCCCTCACACCAACCCGATCCGCTGGCTGTGGCTGCCCAGAAAGGGCGTGGCCTTGTGCCAGGGGGCCCGGAAGGAGCTGGGGAAGTCATTTCCCAAAGGAGGTTCTGAGTGGCCCAGGTTCCCATCCCCCGCCCCACAGCTGTCCGTTCCACGCAGGCCCAGCCCACGGTCCCCCCACCCCACCCATCTTGCTTCCCCACCCATCGACGTCAGCACACCTTGCTGGTTCATTGCAGATTGAACAGATGTTCGCCGCCTTCCCTCCTGACGTGACTGGCAACTTGGACTACAAGAACCTGGTGCATATCATCACCCACGGAGAAGAGAAAGACTAGGAGGGGACCCTCTAGTGCGCCCTGGGCTCCTCTTTGCAGAGTGGTTCCTGCCCTCCTCTCTCTCCCACGAGTACAGCCTCTGTCCCCAGCCTGGTCTGTTAGCTGTGTGGCTGCCCTGTTTATCCGCCTCCATCTTCCTTGCAGCCTGGGTGGCTACAGCTGCCTCATGGCCACATATCCTACAGATGGAAATCCATCCAGAGGCCATGTTCCAATAAACAGGAGGTCGTGTATTTGGTCATGACATTCCCCTGTCAGACAGTGCCTTGAGTAAGGAAGGCAAAGGCAGAGGAGCTAGCGATGGCCTTGCAGTTGTTATTATTGAATCTCGGTGACTCTTTATTTAAGATAGACCTTTGCAGCCACTCAGGACTGTTTCTATCAAGGACCATGTTTTACTGGAATGTTAATTGGACAACCACAGCCCTCTGTTCCAAAGAGCTCAGGCATTTAGAGGGCCTTGGTTCCATGACATCCTTCCCTTGGGATGCCATCAGAATGCTTCTCCTGGGCCAGGCGCGGTGGCCAAGCCTGTAATCCCAGCACTTTGGGAGGCCGAGGCAGGTGGATCACGAGGTCAAGAGATCGAGACCATCCTGGTCAACATGGTGAAACCCACTCTCTACTAAAAATACAAAACATTAGCTGGGCATGGTGGTGTGTGCCTGTAATCCCAGCTACTCAGGAGGCTGAGGCAGGAGAATTGCCTGAACCCAGGAGGCGGAGGTTGCGGTGAGCCGAGATTGCGCCATTGCACTCCAGCCTGGGTAACAAGAGTGAAACTCTGTCTCAAAAAAAAAAAAAAAAAAGAATGCTTCTCCTGGAAGTGACAGTGGCAAGGAGGAAGCAGCCTGACTCATGGTAGGAACATAGGTCGTTCAATAGCAGTCACGCCTGCTAATCCTAAGAGGGTGATTTCTAGTTTCAGATAAAGTAGAAGCCGTCTGTACTTCTTCCCCAGCAAACATGGAGAGCAGTACTGATTTCTGGCCCCATCTGGGGCCTGGGCCTGGATGTGAACTGATCCTTGATTTTGAGTGCCCACCCTCATGGTTGGAGCGTTCAGGCCTCTTATGGCTGCAAGAGTCGCAATGTAAGAAACAAGCAGGGCCAGGTGTGGTGGCTCCCACCTGTGACGCCAGCGCTTTGAGAAGCTGAGGCAGGAGGCTCACTTGAGCCCCAAAGTTTGAGACCAGCCTAGACCAACATAGTGAGAGCCAATCTCTACAAAAAATAAATAGCCAGGCATGGTGGTGTGCACGTGTGGTCCCAGCTACGCAGGAGACTGAGGTGGGAGGATCACCTGAGCCCAGAAGGTCAAGGCTGCAGTGAACTGCACTCCAGCCTGGGTGGCAGAGTGAGGCCCGGTGTCTTAGAAAAGAAAAAAAGAAATAGGTTCAAATCACTAAGAAGTCCAGGGGCTTCAGGCACAGTTGCATCCAGGAGCCCAGGCAGTGCCCTCGGAGGCTGGGGAGGCCTCTGTTTTCTGTCACTTTCCTCCGCTCTTGGCAGTGGCAAAATAGTTAAGAGTGTAGCTCCTGCCCCCTTTCCAGCCACTCAGCAATCCTAGAAGGGCACGCTCCTCTCTCTCCCAGCTCCACACAAACATCAGAACAGGGCCTCATGGGATCCCTCCGGGGCACCTGACACCCCTGAGCCAATCACTGTGGACTGGCAGGGGCAGTGCTCTGATGGACAGGCCTGGCTCAACTGATCAGCCTGTGCTGGGACTGAAATCAGAGCCCTCCTGAACCACACAGCCTGGAGATGGGAGGGGAGATTCCCTGGAGGAAAACCTGAGAAGAAGCAGGGAGTGGACTTCGGGCACTTCAGGTTCTCAAGAGAATCCCAAGAACCCTCCCAGCACTTTGGGAGGCCGAGTTGGGCGGATTGCTTGAGGTCAGGAGTTTGAGGCCAGCCTGGCCAACATGGCAAAACCCTGTCTCTACTAAAACTACAAACATTAACCAGGCGTGGTTGCAGGCACCTGTAATCCCAGCTACTCAGCAGGCTGAGGCAAGACAATCACTTGAATCCAGGAGGCAAGGTTGCAGTGAGCCGAGATCGCGCCACTCACTGAGCTGAGATCACTCAAGCCTGAGCCACAGAGCCAAACTCCGTCTCAAAAAAAGAAAGAGAGAGAGTCCGGCCAGGCGCAGTAGCCCACGCCTGTAATCCCAGCACTTTGGGAGGCTGAGGCAGGCAGATTAGCTGAGATCAGGAGTTCGAGACCAGCCTGACCAACATGAAGAAAGCCTGTCTCCAATAAAAATATCAAATTAGACAGGTGTGGTGGTGGGGCCTGTAATCCCAGCTACTCAGGAGGCTGAGGCAGGAGAATCGCTTGAACCGGGGAGGTGAAGGTTGCCGTGAGCTGAGATCGCGCCACTGCACTCCAGCCTGGGCGACAAGAATGAAACTCCGTCTAAAAAAAAAAAAAGAGAGAATCCCAAGAACCCAAGAACACAGGACACGGCCCAAGTCAATGACATGATGGGAACAAGCTGAAATTGGGTGAGGGAGTGGAGCTGGGGTCACAGCAAAGGCAGGAGGGCCCAGGAGGTCAGAGGAGCCACAGCTGGGGCCAGTCTTCAAGGCTCGACAGTGACAACAGCACCGCCCATGGGAGGAGCTCAGGGTGGAGCCATCAACAGGACGAATGAATCCCTTGGCTGCAGAGACCCAGGGCCCATTTCACAGCAGGCTGTGTGGGCAGGGACCCAGGGGAGTCACGGCCCCACCCCCACAACCCAGGATGCTCCACACCCTGTGACGCCCCTCCCCCGTCACACCCTCCCTGCACTCCAGAGTCGGCCCAGGCAGAGAGCCTCGTGCACCGCTCCTGTGTTCAGAGATGCAGTCCCACACAGAGAAGGCGGGACTCAGGACACTCCAAGGCCATGCGTGGTTCTGGGCAAGACACTGTGGACTCAGCTCCACAGTGACACACCCACCCACAACAGACACATGCAGAGACAGAGACATGCAGAGACACACAGAGATACAGAGATGCACACACATACAGACACACAGAGACACATAGGGACACGGACAAAGACAGAGACAGAGATGCACACAGAGATAGAGACACACAGAGATACAGACACGCAGAGACATGCAGGGACAGAGACACAGAGACATACAGACACACAGATACAGACATGCAGAGACACAGAGGGACAGAGACACAGCGACAAACAGAGATGCACACAGAGATATAGAGACACTCAGATACAGACACGCAGAGACACACAAAGAGACACAGACACACACAAAGACACATGCAGGTACAGACAAGCAAAGACACACAGACAGGGGCACACAGAGACACACAAGTGCAGACACTCAGAGACACACAGAGACAGAGACATACAGAGATACACAGAGACATACAGAGATGCACACAGATACACACACGCAGAGACACGAAGGGACACGCAGATATACAGAGACACACACAGGTACAGACACTCAGAGACAGACACACAGAGACATACAGAGACGCACACAGATATGCTGAGACACATATAGGTACACACATATGTGGACACACGGAGACACACTCAGATACACAAAGTCATACAGACACACAGACACAGATACAAACACACAGAGACGCAGACACCCAGAAACATAGACACACACACACACACACACACACACACACAAACACACACAAACACAGAGAAGCAGATCCAGGGCACCCCCCGCTCCCACTTCCTGTTTTCGAGTGTCAGCCACGCCCCGGGTGCCCAGCGGGGTCTCAGGATCCACAGTTTGGCTCCAGCGTGGCCCCGCCCCTAGGCTAGTCCCTGCTACATCTGGTGGACCACATCTGCATCTGTGTCTACATGGCTGGGGTGGCCTGTGCTGGCCTCGAGCTCAGAGGTTCCCAGGGGCTGTGATGGCCTCGCAAGGTCCCCTCCTCCTGTTCCCGCTTTTACTTCTTGCTCCTCCGCCCCAGCCCAGAGGTGGCCCCAGCACCCAAAGCCCTTAGTAACATGTGTGATGGGTACAAGGCTACAGAACACAGTGTTTATTCTTTCGGTTACGGTGCAAAGGCAGCTGGACCCCTGCGCCTCACAGGGTTGTCCTCTTCCTGGACCTGAGCTCCTCCACCTTCTCTGGCAGGCTGTCTCCGCGCATCTCCTTAATCCGATTCTCCTTTAGGGTGTAATTGTCGAGCACCAGCTGCCGAAGGCTGCTGTGGTCCAGGGGCTGTTCCACTGCACAAGGCCAGATTTGTGTGAGGCGCTGGGAAATCAAACCCAGGGCTGGGGCTTCCTTCCCAGCGAGTCTCTCTCTCTGCCCAAGGCAGGGATGGCCAAGCCTGGTTTGGCGTCCCTCCATAACATTGGGGAGTGGAGCACGGAAATTCTTAGGTTTCAAGGAGGGGGAGAATTAACAGAAATATACATCTGGGGGCTGCCCAGACAATGACTAGTTTTCTCCCAAACAAGGATGTGAAGAATGCTTGGTTTAATGTTAAGGAGACAGAGCCACCAAGTGCAGTTGTTCAGGAAGTGCACTGCAAAAGACACCTAGAGGAGAGGGGTAGATGGATGGGCTGAAATCCAGCCCCCACTTGATTACAGAGCTGTATATACCAGAAGGGGCACCTTTTCCTAATTAATTACCCAGAAGTGGCCTCTCTTCTAATTCACACCTGTAGTCCCTGCCATCTCCCAGTGGGCTGAGAGAAACGAAAGTTCATCGACATTCCCCTGAATAGATGTGAAGACAGCATCTGTACATTTCTGACCTTGTGAGGACAACTTTACCAGCGCTCTGCCCCCTGCTCCCCCCAACCTTTTAGGAACTGAAAGGGCTGTGGAAGTTGTGCTAAGACGGGCGGCATCGGACCTAGCTTCCACTCCTGCTACGTTTCTGTCTCCTCAGCTGAAACACACAGGATCTCTGTGCATGTGTGCTTGTGTGTGCATGTGTGTGTGCATGCCTGTGTGTGCACGTGTGCTTATTGGGGGGTCTCTCCCTCCATCCTTGGCACACTTAAAATGCTGCTCAGAGAAATGGGGGCGGCTTTTAAAAAATCAACTTTTTAGCCGGGCACAGTGGTTCATGCCTGTGATCCCAGCACTTTGGGAGGCCGAGGCGGGTGGATCACAAGATCAAGAGATGGAGACCATCCTGGCCAACATGGTGAAACCCTGTCTCTCCTAAAAATACAAAAATTAGCTGGGCATGGTAGTGGGCGCCTGTAGTCCCAACTACTCCGGAGGCTGAGGCAGGAGAATCACTTCAACCCGGGAGGTGGAGGTTGCAGTGAGCAGAGATTGCACCACGGCACTCCAGCCTGGCGACAGAGAGAGACTCTGTCACACACACACACACAAAAGATTTTATTTCTCTAATTACTAAAGTCATGCAAGGTCACTGTAAGAGAAAATTTCAAACAATACGGAATTGTTTAACTTAGAAATGCAAAGTTCTCTGGAAACCACCATCCAGAATTATCCACTGTAACAGGCGGCTTATACACCTCTGGTTTTTATGCATAATCTAAAAACCTTCCTCCTTCCGCCTTCCCTTTCTCTCATCGCCCCTCCCTCCGCCTCCTCCTCTTCCTGCCTCTGAGCCTTCCTTCTTTCCTCCCTCCCTCTCCCTCCCTCTCTCTCTCATTTTACATATATCTTATTACATATCAGGGTTGTAAAGTGCTGTCCTGTGTGTTGTGAGATTTCTAGCAACATCCTTGGCCACTAGATGACAGCAACACCATCACTTTCAGTTGTGACAACCAAAAATATCTTTAAATATTGTCAAATGTCCCATAAAAGGGAAATCACCCCTGGCTGAGAACTGGCACACCAAAAAAAAAGTGTGTGTGTGTGTGTGTGTGTGTGTGTGTGTGTGTGTGTGTACATAAACATATATATACACACACACACACACATATATGTACACACACACGCGTGTGTGCCTGTGTATTTCGTGCATACGTAGAGAATGTCTTTAGAAAGAAGGGATTATACAACACGCTACTTCTCAGGAGGCCCACACAGCTGTCGTGCAACTGACTGTGTTTCCCTTTTTGTCTTAATATCCAGGGCCTCTTCCCAGTCCTTGCATATTGGCCCCGTGCCCTCTTTTGGGGCTGCTCAGAACTGCACTGCGTGTGCAGATGAGCTGCACCTGATTTCAGCAGTCTCTAAGGGATGAGCGGTATACTTGTCTCTGGTTTGGGGCTGCAGTGAACAGCCTCCACTCCTCCACCTTTCATCTTCGACCCTTGAATAAGTCCTTCCGGAAGGAACGTTCCCATATACGTGGCCAGACTGCTCTCTAAAAAGATGAGGCCAATTTGATTCTCGCCTCGCTCCCCACATGAGAGGATGAGTGAGTTTCTTCCTTGAACGGAAGGAGGATCAGTGGGCCGGTGTGGGAAGAGCCACGGTTGAGCGTCTGGCTTCTGGCATGGACCACGTTGAAGCTGCTTCAATCGTGGGGTTAGGGGACAAAAATGGGGAGGAGCCGAGAATGGGGCTCCGGGGGCACAATGGGTCAGGGAAAGGGAGGTCACGGCTGAGTGAGACTCAGGAGCACAGATAGGGTGAGCATGAGACAGGGTCTGGAAACCCTGTCTATCCACAACTTGCCAATTTGCAAACTTTTGATATTTTAAGGTTCATTTTAAAAGATCAAAAGGTAATTGTGACTTTTAAAAACATCCAAAATAACTAAACTTCAGGATCTGTGTCACCCTAGCATCATAGAGAGAAAAGTCCCCAAGCAAATGACATCGAGTGGCCACAGCCAAGATGGCACTCAAGGGAGCTGGTGGGCCACAAGGGCTCATAAAGAAGGGAAACTGAGGCTCAACACTACAGACCCTCTTGGGCACCTGGACACAGCCTCCCCAGACCTGAAGGCACAGGTTTCCTAGCACCTGCACAGATCGGGAGAGAGAAAACTCACCATCTTCCAACCTGTCGCTGAAGGGGTCAGCCCCCAGCACTGGGGGGATGACTTTGATGGGTTCTGGGGGCTTGAGGAGGGCAGAGCCGCCCCAGAAAGGGTTGACGAAGGGTGGCGGGACCTCGGTCTCTGCCCCTTCCACTTCCAGGATGCGCCTGTAGGTCTCCGACAGCAGCAGGTCGTTGGTCTTCTTTTCAATGATGGCTGCAGAACAAGAAGCAGGACCAAAATGGCTGCCGAGAGACCTGAGCCTGGGGGCACTGGGGCAGCGCCCCCCGCTGCAGAGGGTGGGGAGGAGCAGGAAGTATAGGGGTGTGGGATCTGGGCTCTGACAAGGACAAGGCTTTCTCTGGGATCACACCTGGTGTTCTCAACAGGATAACATCACTCCTCACACTTGGGGCTGAAATTTGCTTCTTGAGAGGAAAATAATTCTGACCACCTTTTTTTTTTTGAGACAGGGTCTGGTTCTGTCACCCAGGCTGGAGTGCAATGGCACGATCTTGGCTCACTGCAACCTCAAACTCCCAGGTTCAAGCGATTCTCCTGTTTCAGCCTCCTGAGTAGCTGTGACCAAAGGCACATGACACCAGGCCCCACTAATTATTGTATTTTTTTGGTAGACACCGGGTCTGGCTGGTCTCGAACTCCTGGCTCAAGCAATCCTCCTGTATTGGCCGCCCAAAGTGCTGGGATTACAGGTGTTAGCCAACGTGCCTGGCCTCTGACTCCTTAATGTATACAACACAGATACCCACGGGACATAAGCAGACATACATTATCTCAATGATATTAAAATATTACATTTATAAGGAGGGCAGTTAGGCAAAGTATGTCTAGAGAGGCTCCTTAGCAGGATGATAATGAAAAGAAGGTTGAGAAATACCAGGATACACTAAAAATTGGGATCCCCACCTTAAACTCCTGGCTTGCCCCAGAGCTCTCTGTTTCAAGTCTCCACGACTCTGCTCATGCTGTTCCTTCTGCCAGAATGCCTTTCCCTGTACACTTCCCTGAATAACCACCTAGAGGTGTTTTAAAACTCAAATCCTTGCCACCTGCAGAAATGCTTCCCTGACCTGCCTCATTCAGGGGACGTCTCCTTGCACTGTAGCTCTATAGCCCCCTGCAGTCATAAGAGTCATTCATTCATTCGTTCATTCATTCGCAAATGATTACTCAAGGCCTACCACACTACGCACCGTGCTAGACACTAAGGATGCAATGGAGGAAAAACGAAACAATGACAACACTGGCAACACAAACTCAGCCCTTGCCCTACCAGAGCTTTTGTGTGTCTGGAGGGACAAAGAGAAAGCCAAGTTCAACAACTGAACAGACCACCAGAGGCAGCCCTCGCCATCCGGATGTTCATTATCTGATTCAGTAACTACTGGATTTGAATATGCTTTTTGAATAAATCTCACACTATCCAGACTGCTGCTATATCTGAAAATCAGGGATCAAAAATATTAGCATCCAGGCTGGGCACAACGATTCACGCCTGTAATCCCAGCACTTTGGGAGGCCGAGGCAGGTGGATCACTTGAGATCAGGAGTTTGAGACCAGCCTGGCCAACATGGTGAAACCCTGTCTCTACTAATAGTACAACATTGGGCCAGGCATGGTGGCTCACACATATAATCCCAGCACTTTGGGAGGCTGAGGCAGGTGGATCACTTGAGGTCAGGAATTCAAGACCAGCCTGGCCAACATGGTGAAACCCTGTCTCTACTGAAAATACAAAATTAGATGGGTGTGGTTGTGCTGGCCTGTAGTCCCAGCTACTCGGGAGGCTGAGACAGGAGAATCACTTGAACTCAGGAGGCGGAGGCTGCAGAGAGCTGAGATGGTGCCACTGCACTCCAGCCTGATGACAGAGCGAGACTCTGTCTCAAAAAATAATAATACAAAAATTAGCCAGGTGTGGTGTCGGGTGCTTGTAATCCCAGCTACTTGGGAAGCTAAGGCAGGGGAATCACTTGAACCCCTGAGGCAGAGGTTGCAGTGAGCCGAGATTGTGCCACTACACTCCAGCCTGAGCAACAGAGCAAGACTGTCTGTCAATAATAAAATAACAAATAAAATAATTCACATCCAAAACTTGCTATCAGATCTCAGGAACCACATAGATTCAGACATTGAAAGTGACCTTTCCATGGAGACAAATAGGGTGAATGCTAAATACTAGGACTGCCGTGAGAGGAAGTAACAGTGGTGGGCAGTGTGGGAGGGGACAGCTTCAGTGCAGGGAGACAATGAAGCTGAGAATGGAGAACTAGAAGGAACCGGGTATGGGGAGGTTTTCCAGGAACAGCCCGTGCAAAGGTCCCAAGATGGGAACAAGATGCAGGGGCAGCAGTGGGGGAGCTTGGAAGGATCGAGAGAAGAACAGTGTGGCTACGGGCGGCGAGCCAGGGACAGAGCAGGACGAGCGGAGATGAGAAATGTAACCAGGGCCAGGCTAGGAAGAACCCGATAGGCTGGATACAGAAAAAACGTCAACACAGCAGGACGAGGCTCTCCGATGAAAACCGTGCTAGCTAGGTCAGGCTTGGGCTGCCATCCGGAAACCTGGATTTCAGGAAGATTCCCAACACTATTAACTGATAAGAGTGGTTTACCTGAACGGATAAGAAAATGTGGTGGCCGGGTGTGGCACCTCACACCTGGAATCCCAGCACTTTGGGAAGCCAAGGCAGGTGGATCACCTGAGGTCAGGAGTTCAAAACCAGCCTGGCCAATGTGATGAAACCCCGTCTCTGTTAAAAATGCAAAAATTAGCTAGGCATGGTGGCAGACACCTGTAATCCCAGCTACTCAGGAGGCTGAGGCAGGAGAATCGCTTGAACCCAGGAGGCAGAGGTTGCAGTGAGCCAAGATCACACCATTGCACTTCAGCCTGGGTGACAAGAGCTAAATTTTGTCTCAAAGAAAAAAAAGAAAATATGGTACATATGCATGATGGAGCACTATTCAGCCATAAGAAAGCATGAGATCCTGTCATTTGCAACAACACGGGTGGAACTGGAGGTCATTCTGGTAAGTGAGGTAAGCCAGGCACGGAAAGACAGACTTCGCAGGCTCTCACGTATTTACAGGATGAAAAACTCAAAACAATGAACACATGGGGATACGGAGTGGAAGGATGTTCATCAGAGGCTGGGAAGGCAGTGGCAGGTGGGGGGGGATGGTTAATGAATCCAAAAAACAAAGAATGAATAAGATCGGGCATGATGGCTCATGCCTGTAATCCCAGCACTTTGGGAGGCCAAGGCAAGGGGATGACTTGAGGTCAGGAGTTCAAGACCAGCCTGGGCGACATTACAAGACCCCATCTCCATACAAAAAATAAAAATAAATAAATGGATAAAAGAATGAATAAGACCTAATATTTGATAGCACAACAGGGTGACTATAGTCAAAATAATTTAATTGTACACTTTAAAATAACTAAAAGAGTATAACTGAATTGCTTATAACACAAAAGAGAAATGCTTGAGGGGATGACACCCCATTTTCCATGATGTGATTGTTATGCATGCATGCCTGTATCACAATACCTCATGTACCCCACAAAATACATACCTACTGTGTACCCACAAAAAATTTTTTTTAACTTTTTTTTAAAAGAGTGGCTCACTCTGCCTAAACAGTCTACACAATGTGGTGTATCACATGGTTCATATTGACACACTGCTTTGCTAATTTTGTTCTGTACCCTTTTACTGTAATAAATCATAGCCACACGTATGACTATATACTGAGTCCTGGGGGTCCTCTAGCAAAGCACTGAATGTGGCCAGGGGATAGGATGTGTTTGGGGAACCTCCCAAACAGAATATATTCAGAATCTGAGGTTTGGATGACCACGCTGGCTCACACCTGTAATCCCAGCACTTAGGGAGGCCTAGGCGGGCGGTTCATGAGGTCAAGAGATCGAGACCATCCTGGCCAACATGGTGAAACCCCGTCTCTACTAAAACTACAAAAATTAGCTGGGCGTGGTGGCACATGCCTGTAATCCCAACTACTTGGGAGGCTGAAGCAGGAGAATTACTTAACCAGGGAGGCAGAGGTTGCAGTGAGCTGAGATCATACCACTGTACTCTAGCCTGGTGACAGAGTAAGACTCCATCTCAAAAAAAAAAAAAAAAAAAGAATCTAAGGTTTAATTCTAGGAGCAGTGAAAGCCGTTCATTCCAAATTGTTAGGACCTGTGCAAGCCTGTCTCTCCCTGTCCACTCTGGCTTAGGGCCGATGGCTAGAAACGCACATGATTGTTGACAGATGTGCTCTGCGCAGGCACTGCTCCGAGTACTTCATTCCTTCCTTTCTAATCTGTGTGCCTTTTATTTCTTTTTTGTGCTTTATTGCATCGGCTTGGGCCTACAGTACAACATTGAATAGGCATGGTGGCAGCACACAGACATCCCTGCCTTGTTCCTGATCTTAGGAGAAAAACATTCCACTTCCCACCATGAAGGATGAGGTTTGCTGTAGTTTTCAGTGTTTTTTATTTGTTTGTTTGCTTGACATGGAGCCCTAATCTGTCACCCAGGCTGGAGCGCAGTGGTGCAATCTTGACTGACTACAACCTCTACCTCCTGGGTTCAAGGAATCCTCCTGCCTTGGCCTCCCAAGCTGGGACTACAGGCATGCACCACCATTTTTGTATTTTTAGTAGAGACAGGGTTTTACCACGTTGGCCAAGCTGGTCCTGAACTCCTGACCGCAAGTGATCTGCTCGCCTTGGCCTTTCAGGCCTTTCAAAGTGCTGGATTACAGACATGAGCCACCATGCCTGGCCTAGTTTTGGGTGGATTTTTGAACATGTCTTTCATCAAGTTAAGAACATTTCCTTCTAGTTCTAGTTTGCTGAGCGTTTTCTTTTTTATAATCATGAATGGATGTTGAATTTTATCAAATGCTGCTTCTGCAGTTATTGAGATGATCATATCATTTTTCTCTAATAACTACACGTGTATTTGTCTCCCAACAGTCTATGAGGTAGATACTGAGTTTACACCAAAATTTTTTTAAAAAACTGAAGGCATTAAGAGATACCCATTTTTGTAGATCAAAAATCTGAAGCACAGAGAGGTTCAGAAACCTTCCCTGGCCAGGCGCAGTGGCTCATACCTGTAATCCCAGCACTTTGGAAGGCCAAGGAGGGTGAAACACTTGAGCCCAGGAGTTCGAGACCAGCCTGGGCAATGTGATAAGACCCTGTCTGTAAAAGAAACACAAAAATTTAGCCGGGCATGGCAGCGCCTACCTGTAGTCCCAGCTACTTAGGATCCTGACTGAGGCGGGAGGATTGCCTGAGCCCAGGAGATTGTGAGTGCAGACAGCCGTGGTTGCGCCACTGCCCTCCAGCCTGGGCAACAGGGCAAGACCCCGTCTCAAAAGAAACAAAACAAAGAAAACTGCTCAAGGCTCCAGAGCTGTTAAGGGTAGACCCAGGATTCGAACCCACGCAGGCCGGCTTTAGTGCCCACACACTTCGCCACCAAGCTCACTACTCCATAAGAGCAAGTCCTCATGCCCAGTCACAGAAAGTTCTGGAAATGGCTCCTAAGAGTCCAATGGGCCCCAGCTTGACTCACCAAAGTACTGCGGAAGGTTGATGTCAGTGACTTCCCCCGTCTCCCTTAACTGCACCCGGATCTTGGTGGCATCACAGTTTATCTTCTTGAACAGTCTCTCCACCGAGCTCTTGAGTAGCTCCAAGGTCTTGCTGACCTCCCGGTACTTGCTCTCATACATATCCGCCTCCTCCGTGGTCTTCTTCAGTTTATCCTGGTGGCAGACCCCAATTCCCACCCGCTCAGGAGGACTCTCAGTGGACAGGGTATTTGGGACTTTCTGGGGTCAGGGCCCCAAACCGCCAGTTTTCAAACTTCTGAGTGGGGGTGAGATCAATTAAATGGGCTCCCATCGAATTTTGAAGAAATGAAATAGAATAGCAAAGAAAGGAAGAAAATAGAAAATACTAGTGTACATTGCGAGTTGTAAGGGTAAATATTGTTCAATGTAAGTTTTGCTTCACTTACATGTGTGTATGGGTGTCTACATGTGTACCGGATTACAATTTTTTTTTTTTTTGAGACAGAGGCTCACTCTGTTGCCTAGGCTGGAGTGCAGTGGCACAATCTCAGCCCACTGCGACCTCTGATGCCCAGGTTCCAGCAATTCTCATGCCTCAGCCTCCCAAATAGCTGAGATTACAAGCAGGTGCCACCATGCCTGGCTTTTTTTTTTTTTTTTTTTTTTTTTTTTTTTTGTATTTTTAGTAGAGACACAGGCTGGTCTTGAACTCCTGACCTCAAGCGATCTGTCCATGTTGGCCTCCCAAAGTGCTGAGATTACAGGTGTGAGCCCCCATGCCCGGCTTACTATATACACATTTTTTTTTTCTTTTTTTTTTTTTTTTTTTTGAGACAGAGTCTCACTCTATTACCTAGGCTCCAGGCTGGAGTGCAGTGGCCCAATCTCTGCTCACTGCAGCCTCAACTTCTTGGGCTGAAGCAATTCTCCCACCTTAGCCTCCAGAGTAGCTAGGACTACAAGCACCCGCCCCCATGCCCAGCTAATTTTTATATTTTTTTAGAGACAGGGTTTTGCCATGTTGCCCAGACTGGTCTCAAACTCCTGGACTCCGGCAATCCTCCCTCCCACTTTGGCCTCCCAACGTGCTGGGATTACAGGCGTGAGCCGCCTCGCCCAGCCAGTTGACTTGTTTTTTTAAACATGGCATTCCACCTGAGGCCAGAAGTTTGAGAACATCCTGGCCAACATGGCAAAACCTGGTCTATACTAAAACTACAAAAATTATCTGGGCATGATGGTACGTGCCTGTAATCCCAGCTAATGGGGAGGCCGAGACAGGAGAATCACTTCCGGGAGGTGGAGGTTGCGGTGAGCCAAGATCGTGCCACTGCACTCCAGCCTGAGTGACAGAGTGAGACTCCATCTCAAAAAAAAAAAAAAACGTGGTCCACAGGAATACATTGCAGCCAATACATACAAACATACATACATATGTTGTGTATGTAAATTTATCTATATTGTCTAATCAAATGAATTTAGAAGTTTCACAAATTAATATTCTTTTTTTAAAAAATACAGTTGGGGTGTTGCTCTGTCACCCAGGCTGGAGTGCAGCGGTGTGATCCTTGCCCACGGCAGCCTTCAACTCCTGGATTCAGGCAATCCTCCTGCCTCAGCCTCTGGAGCAGCTGGGACTATAAGCATGTAACACCCAGGTAATATAATATAGTAATACTTACCCAGGTAACATAATAATACTTACCCAGGTGAGTATCTTTTTTTTTTTTTTAATTGGTAGAGATGGGATCTTGCTGTGTTTGCCCAGACTGGTCTTGAACTCCTGGGTTCAAGGGGCTCAAGCAATCCTCCCACCTCAGCCTCCCAAAGTGCTGGGATTACAGGTGTGAGCCACCATGCCCAGTTCAAATCAATATTCTTTTTTCAAAAAATAAAATTAGAGACAGGTCTCACTATGTCGCCCAAGCTGGTCCCGAGCTCCTGAGCTCGGATGATCCTTCTGCCTCAGCCTCTCGAAGTTCACACCCAGCCTCAAACCAATATTCTTATTATGTGTTCTAATATTTTCTCTTCTGTTCTGCTCTCACTATTTTAAAATGCTGGCTACCCTCCAACAAACTGGTTTCGCCATTCACAGTTTAAAACACATTGCCCCAGCCCAGTGCTTCTCAATGTGTGGTCCCAGGACAAGCAGCGTCAGCATCACCTGGGAACTTGTTAGAAATGCGTATTCGTGGGCCCCACCTCAGGCCTACTCAATCAAAGGCCCTGGGGGTGGGCAGGGCCACCTGGGTTTTAGCCAGCCTCCGGGCGGTCCTGGCTCATGGTAAAGTCTGAGAACCTCCGCCAGCCTGTTGGATCTCAACCTTGGCTTCACACTGGTATCACCTGAGAGCTTTCAAAATATTTGCTGCTCAACCCCACCCTCAGAGATTCAGAGTCTTAATTGGCCTGGGGCGCGGCCTGGGCATCTGGGAGTTTTGGTTAAAGCCTCCCAGGTGATTCTGACGCATGGCTGGAATGAGGATCTCCATTCTAGGGTACTTCCTTCAACTGATTCCTGCCTCTGCCTCAGAGATCTCAGCTTGCAAAGGTGAACTGGACCCTGGATGAACCGGCCCCATTCCCGCAGGTGAACTCTGCACGCATCACCCTGAATAATGATCGCAAAGGGTCGGGCCTATTCACACCTCCATTTTGCAGGTGAGAAAACTGAGGGTCCAAGGCACACGGCCAGGAGAAGGAAGCGGGGAACGGAACCCGGTCTCTCAACCAGCACATCAGGCGACTTCCTCTGCCCGGCTACTAAATGTCCAGTCCCCAGGGCTGCAAGTCCCCATAAGACAATAAGAGGGCATTAGGCCAGGTATGGGGGCTCACGCCTGTAATCCCCACATGCTGGGAGGCTGAGGTGGGAGGATCACTTGAGTCCAGGAGTTTGAGTCTAGCCTGGGCAACATAACAAGACCCTGCCTCAATGAAAAATTAAAAATTAGCCGGATATGCTGGTGTGTGCCTGTGGTCCCGGTTACTTGGGAGGCTGAGTTGGGAGTGTCACTTGAACCTGGGAGGTGGAGGCTGCAGTGAGCTGTGATCACACCACTGCACTTCAGCCTGGGCCACAGAGCAAGACTCTGCCTCAAAAAATAAATTATAATAAAAGTGCATTAAAAATCACATTAAAAAATCACAGGATTCATTTTTAAAAGTCAATATTCAGCTTGATGTGATGGTGATAACACGTGTCTAGCTCCTAAAAATATTCCGGGTACTTCACATCATCTGAACTCAGTTCACAACCAGCCGAGTTTTCAGATGAGCAATGTTGAGGCCAGAGAGGAAAAGGAAACTCATGTTTCCCTTCCCCGCCCTGAGCTCATCCAAAGGCTTGACCTTGAGCTTAACTCTACTTGGGCAATGATTTAGTAACAAAGTGAGGGTGGCTTAGAGTTTTTCTGGTTCACATGAGAAATAACAGCTACAATGTACAGCCCTCTGCACTGCAGTGTGCCAAATGTATACATGTGTGATTTTATTCAATCTTCACAGCCCTAAGAAGTAGGTATGATTATTATCCCCATTTTACAGATGAGGAAACTGAGGCTCAGAGAGGTTGAGTCACTATCTCAAAGTCACACAGCTAGGAAGTGACTTTTCTGCAAGTCATAGCCAGGCTCCCAGAGCCTGGTTGCTTAATTCCTATGCAAATCCCTCCTATGATGCATGTGGTCCCACCACTTCTCCCAAAGGGGGAGGAGATGATGTACTAAAGGGCTTCGAGAATAGAGCAGGTGGAAGTGATCTTTAGCAGGGAAACACCTGTGAGTCCATTGCTATCAAGACCAATTCTGGCCAGGCAAGGTGGCTCACGCCTATAATCTTAGCACTTTGGGAGGCCAAGGCGGGCAGATCACCTGAGGTCAGGAGTTGGAGACTAGCCTGGCCAACACGGTAAAACCCCATCTCTGCTAAAAATGCAAAAAATTAACCAGGTGTGGTGGCACGCGCCTGTAATCCCAGCTACTCTGGAGGCTGAGGCAGGAAATCGCTTGAACCCGGGAGGCAGAGGTTGCATCGAGCCGAGATCGTGGCACTGCACTCCAGCCTGGTGACAGAGCCAGACTCCTCCTCAAAAAAAACATTTATTAATTAAAATTTTAAAAATTCACCTGGCATGGTGGTGAGCACCTGTAACCGCAGCTACTCAGGAGGCTGAGGCAGGAGAATCGCTTGAACCTGGGAGGTGAAGGTTGTAGTGAGCTCAGATCGCACCACTGCACTCCAGCCTGGGCAACGGAGTGAGACTCCGTCTCAAAAAAAAAAAAAAAAAAAAAAACAAGGCCAATCCTCCTGCCTGCTTAGAGTATCTGATTTGAAAAGAAGCCCCCCGAGTCATGCTAAAGCCAAAGCAACAAAAAGCCAGCCGAGGGGCTGCGGGCCGCGGAGGGGAGATGTTTGGGGTTGCCTGGTCAGCCTCTTCCAAACCCCAAGATGTAGAGGGGCACCAGTCTCAACCCCAACAAGAGTCTGGATTCTGGGTGCCCCCGAGTGACGGGCACCCGCCCAGCTTGGGGAGGGCCTCCGTGGACCTGGCCCCTGCCTGGAAGCCTGTTATTCCCCATACTCAGATATCCGAGAGATGCCGCTCTGAGCACCTCAATGGGCAGCATGTGTTTGCTGCCATCCAGTGGCTCAAAAGAGAATAACACCCTAATGGCCAGCCCTGTCTCCCAGGCCTGTCAGACTAAAAAGGCTGGAAAAGGGCCGGGCGCGGTGGCTCAAGCCTGTAATCCCAGCACTTTGGGAGGCCGAGGCGGGTGGATCACGAGGTCAAGAGATCGAGACCATCCTGGTCAACACGGTGAAACCCCGTCTCTACTAAAAATACAAAAAATTAGCTGGGCATGGTGGTGCGTGCCTGTAATCCCAGCTACTCAGGAGGCTGAGGCAGGAGAATTGCCTGAACCCAGGAGGCGGAGGTTGCCGTGAGCCGAGATCGCGCCATTGCACTCCGTCCCAAAAAAAAAAAAAAAAAAGGCTGGAAAAAAAGCCGCAGAGAACGGAAGGGAAAGGGCTCGGGAGCGCAATTCCCAGGTCTTTGTCAGACATCTGCTATCCACCCTCTCCTTATACGTCAATAACAAAAAGCCTGATTGTATTTAGGGCAGCAGTGTGACCAACTAGAAGTTACATTTCCAAACCTCTCTTGCAATAGGGGAGGCCAATGAAGTGTGAATACAGTGTTATTTACATTGACAGAGACTTCTGGGAAAGAACTTTTAAGCTGGCTGACTGCTAATGAGTCCTTTTATTTTTATTTTTTATTTTTTTGTAGCTCCCATTTTCTTCCTATCTGGAATGTATATGTGATGGCTGGATCTGTGGCAGCTATGATGCAACCATTAGATACCCTTGGAATGTAAGTCACACATGAAGGATGGCAAAACAGAAAGACAGATGGAGCCCAGATCACTGATGACATCATGAAGGTGCCATATCAGCCCTGAAGTGCCTATTTCCAGACTTATTTCCTTTTTTATTTTCTTTTTTTGAGATGGGGTCTCACTCTGTCACCCAGACTGAAGTTCAGTGATGTGATCTGAGCTCACTGCAACCCCTACCTCCCAGGCTTAAGCGATTCTCCTGCCTCGGCCTCCTGAGTAGCTGGGATTACAGGTTCGTGCCACTACCACCTGGCTAATTTTTGTATTTTTAGTAGAGACAGGGTTTCACAGGCTGGCAGACTTATTTCTTAAAGTAAATAAACTTGTATCTTGCTTAAGCCACTGTTATTTGGAGTCCCTGTTATTAGCAGTTGAATAAAACTAAGATCTTGTAGAATATCCCAGCTCCCTGACGTTGGTCAAGTGACTTAACTTCTGTGATCCTTAGTCTCTGCTTCTGTAAAACGGCGAGATCATTAGCACCTGCCTCAGCGGGTTGCTGTCAGGACCCAGTGAAAGCGCAAGCCAAGCTCTTAGCCTGCCACCTCGTCCATGGTAATTACTTCAGAAACGTGTGCATTTGTTATTAGTGATTGAGAACAGGGCACAGGCAGGACAAGGGGAAGAAAGAAGGAAAGAGGCAGAGATCCATCTGGAAGGAACCCATCAGGGATGAAATTGCAGGCCCGAGAGCCAGGGCTGGACTCTCTGAAATGGGGGAGCCTTTAGAATGGATGAAGAGACAGACTTCTACAATGACACCATAGCAGAGGGTGCCCGGGACAAAAGGTCAGGACATGTCTGGATATGATCCGGGCCAGCCTCGAGTCATGGGGCAGACCTCTTACTGCTCCTGAGAATCAACTGACAGATACCCGACGAACGGACAGACAGACGCTCCCGTCAGACAGAGAGACAGACAACAGAAGCTCCCGCGTCCCTCCCTCCCGAGCCTGGTCTCACCTCCAGCTGTCTCAGGACAGAGCGGTTGTCATCGTGGGATGATTTCTGCTGGGATCGCAAGAGCATGATCTCGTCCTGCTCCAGAGAGAACAAGACCATGAGGAAAAGCGGCTCTTCCCTCCCCACCTCTCCCAAAAATAAGTCTGCGCCTCAAAGAGTCGATGAGGAATTCAATGACCCGTTCAAGGAGCCCCTGAACTCCTGGCTCCTGCACCCCTCTTATGCCTGTGTGTTTCTTTTTTTTCTGATATTTCTTAAGTAAAAGGAGGGTGAGAGCATGGAAGGGGATGGGAGGGGTGAGTCATCCTTTCCTTTTCTCTTTTTTTTTGAGACGAAGTCTGGCTGCCCAAGTGGGAGTGCAGTGACATGATGTCTGCTCACTGCAACCTCCTCCGCCTCCCAAGTTCCAGTGATTCTCCTGTCCCAGCCTCCTCAGTAGCTGGGATTACAGGCACGCACAACCACACCTGGCTAATTTTTGTATTTTTAGTAGAGATGGGGTTTCACCATACTGGCCAGGCTGGTCTCAAACTCCTGACCTCAGACAATCTGCCTGCCTTGGTCTCTTCTGGAAAATTCTAGAACAATGCAGTCAATAGAATTGTCTGTGCTGGTGGTAATGTCCTGTCCATGCTAATACCGTAGTCACTGCCAAAACGGTGCTGAGCACTTGAAATACAACTGGTGTCACTAGGAACTAATTTTTCTTTATTCTTTTTCTTTTTTAATTTTTATGTTGCCCAGGCTGGTCTCGAACTGCTAAACTCAAGCAATCCTCCCACCCCAACCTCCCAAAGTGCTGGGATTACAGGCATGAGCCACCCTCACCCAACCTCTAATGAACTGATTTTTAGATGTTGTTGGATTTCAGTTCATGTAACTTAAAAAGCCACACGTGGCTGGTGGCTACAGAGCAGCATGGCTGTGGAGCAGGCGTTCTCGGACCTGAGCATATCTCACACTGTCCAGAGTCACCGGGAACCGTGTGAAAATGCAGATTGCCAGGCCCCACGCCCAGGGCTTCTAATTCCGTCGGTCTGGATAGGGCCTAAGAATGTGAATTTCTAACAAGCACCCAGGTGATACTGCCACTGCTGTCCCAGGGACCAGCTTTGAGAATCACGGGGCTTAAACCACATGCCCTGATAGAAAAAGGCACACACCTTTTGAGCCATCTCAGGCCTGGGTGTCTGTCCCATGGAAATACAGAACAGGAGGGGGAAGGTGGCCCCTCAGGGCGGACTGTTGTATTATGGTTTATAGCGGCCCCCAGCTGGGGACAATCCAAATGTCTACTGCTAAGGTCACTTAAGTCAATGACGGCACATTCATAAAACAGGGGAGAGGGTCTTGGGTTAAACTATGGCTAAAATGCAGATTCCTGGCCCATCCACAGAGAAGCCCGTAGGTATCGGAGGGGAGCTGGGCAATGTGCTTTGTTTTTCTTTTTCTTTTTTCTTTTTTTGAGAAAGCGTCTCTCTGTCACCCAGGTTGGAGTGCACGGCGTCATCATGGCTCACTGAAGCCTGGAATTCGATCCTCCCATCTCAGCCTCTCAAGTAGCTGGGACCACAGGCACATGCCACCATGCTAGACTAATTGTTTAATTTTTTAAAAATTTTCTGTAGACACACAGGCTCACTATGTTGCCCAGGCTGGTCTTGAACTCCTGTGCTCAAGCAATCTTCCTGCTTTAGCCTCCTAATGTGCTGGAATTACAGGTGTGAGCCACTGCACCTGGCCAAAGGCACCTGTATTTTGTTGTTTTGTTTTGTTTTGTTTTGTTTTGAGACAGGGTCTCCCTCTGTCGCCCAGGCTGGAGTGCAGTGGTGCAATCTCAGCTCACTGCGACCTCCACCTCCCGGGTTCATGCAGTCCTCCCACCTCAGCATCCTGAGGAGTTGGGATTACAGGCGCATGCCGTCACACGCAGCTAATCTCCTTTTGTGTTTTGTGTTTTTTTGTAGAGACGGAGTTTTGCCATGTTGCCCAGGCTGGTCTCAAACTCCTGGGCTCAAGTGATCCTCCCATCTTGGCCTCCCAAAGTGCTGGAAATTTTTAATTTTTAAAAAAGCAAGATAGAACTGTACCAAAAAGATGAAAGAATGCTATATCCATGTGATGGAATTATTTCTGATTTGAAGGTTGTATTTATACTTTTTAGTATTTTCCAAATTGTGAAAAAAAATTTCTAATCAGAAAAAAGTATTATTTTGGAAAAAAACAGAAAGCGCATCTTTCGATCTTTACAGGGCAAGGGTGGGGGGAGCTCTGGCAAAAAGATGAACCGATGCCCTCTCCAGGTGATGGGGTTCTTCCTGGGTTTATATTGAGACTTTTTAGTATTTTGCAAATTGCATCAGTAACCTGGGTCGATGGCACTGCTCCCCTGCTTGGAGATCTCCCATAGCCCCTGCCTCTTGGAGAGTTGATCAAAATCCCTTCTGGAGATGCGCCCAGCAGCCCTCACCCCCCAGTTCATCCCCTCTCCCTCCCATGTCTCTCTCTGCATGCCAGACACCCTGGCCTGCTTACAAGCTGCCTCAGGGCCTTTGCACGTGCTGTTTCCACTGACTGGAGCATTCTTCCCCAGAGATCTGGACAGCTCAATCCCTCACCTGTAAGTTCATTCAGATCTTAACTCCCCAACTGCCCAAGCCCCCAACCAGCTCCAAAACACTGTTCTGCTCTTTTCACCCACACTGTGTCTCCCTTTCTAATTTACTCTAATTTCTGTAAGTACTGGGCTTGTTTATTGTCTGTTTCTCCCTACCAAGACAGCAGTTCCATGAGGGCTGCGCTTTTTGTCATTCTGTTCACTGCCACATTACCAGGGTCTACTGCAGTGCCTGGAACACATTAGGTGCTCAATAAATACTTGCTGGATGAATGAATAACCAAAAGGACATATGTTCAATCAGATATGCAACTTTATATGATAATAACTGTTACATTTTAAAAGCACAACCATTGAGGCCAGCCTGGGCAACATCATGAAACCCCATCTCTACAAAAAATACAGAAGTTAGCTGGCTGTGGGGGTGTGCGCCTGTAGTCCCAGCTACTTAGGAGGCTGAGATGGGAGGATCACCTGAGCCCAGGGAGATCAAGCCTGCAG